CAACTGGGGGGAAAAATGGGACACCTATAGTACTTTCAACAATAAAGATAAATTAAAAACAAAACAAAACAACAAAACCCGAAAATCATGACACCATTTTTTGAAAGGGCCTTGCACATGAAAATGTAAATGTTTTTTATTACACACTTGTGGCTAAACGATAAACTACAAACCAAAATTCTAGAATTTCTTTAAAAAGTCATGATGATAAAAACACATTTCTGAATCTGTGAAGAATGTTTAAAATAGTGATGAGAGGAAAATGTATAGCTTTAAACACATCAATAATAAATGGATTAAATTCCCAGCTCAGAAAGCTAGGAAAAGACAAGGCACATAAGCCAAAGTAACGCAGAGGTAAAGAAATTAATGAAGTCATTAAGAGAAAAATAGTAAAACTAAGTAACAAATAAAAATCTTAGCTATTTTTTAAAAATATGTGCAGACCACTAGCCAACCTAAACAAAAAAGGAGGCCCCTCCCCTGTCCCAAATGTACAAAATGAGAATTGACAAAAGGGAAACACCTATTGAAACAGAGAAAGCTTTAAAGATTATAAGAGGTTGCTCTGAATAACGTTATGCAACTAATTGTTGAAAATCTGGGTGAAATAGATCAGTTCCTAGGAAAATCACAACTTACCAAAAATTTCCCCAAATTCATTTATGGAAGTCCTACCCTCAGTGTGACTGTACTTGGAAGTGGGGCCTTTATGGACATAATTAAGCTTAACTGAGGTCACAAGCGTGGGACCCTGATCTGATAGGGTCAGTGTCCTTGTAAGAAGGGGAGGAGAGACAAGGCCTCCCCTCTCTCTCCATGAGCACGGAAGTCCTCCACGGGACTTACACAGGGAGAAGGCGCCGCCCTTAAGCCAGGAGAGCGGTTTCTAACCCCCAGGCGCAATGTTAAATGCAAAATCTCTGCTTTGTGCACTGTTACCAATACAGTCAGCCTGATCCAACTTTGTAAGGTTAGCAACTTAGGATAGTTGGTGAGGTCAATCTCTTGACATTAAGCTGTATAGACGCCAAATCTTCGCACCTGAGGTGCCCAATGGGGCCAGGGGAAGGCTGGAAAAGTCCGTTTCCTATGTTGGCCAGCAGGGGGCACTGGAGGACAGACAGCCACCTGAGCATCTTGGCCCTGGGAGGTTCTTTATGGGGGAAAACACTTTAGATTCATTAACCATGTGTCCCAAATGGGGCAAATAGAAGGGTCGTTCCTTCCTCGAAGCCACGTTTCTGACTGTGTGAAATGACGGTTGAACACTTAAGTGCTGAGTTCTCTTTGGATCACAGGAAATACATGTGGAAGCTGTCACCCATGGGCCCTTGTGGACACCTGCTCACCCAGCCCTGGAGCCACGGCATCAGCACATCTGTGTCTGAGCTTCCAGGAAGGCCTGGCTGGGCTGGAGCTGGGGTCAGACACTTTCAGGGGCCATGGAATGAGGGACCCCTCTGTTCCCAATCCACCAGGGTTGCAGGGAAGCTGAGGTGACTCCCAGGGATGTACTGGGACCTCCCACCACTGTCCTACAAATGCAGACAAGCCTTAGGGAAGGGGCAGAGGCCATGAAAACGGAAGGGCACAAAGTTCCCTTCCGTGGGAACGACACCAGCCAGAGCAGACCCTCAGGGTTTTCCTGATGAGCTGGGAGCCTCGGTGTTCCAGCCTGTGATGGGGACCATTGCCCACTAGGGTCACAGCATTAGCCAGGGCCACAGAAGAGCCCCAGGGAGGGGACCTGGCAGGGACTGGCCTTCCTGCATAAGTAAGCAGGACCCTGGAGGGGCTGTGGGTACTGAGACAAATGAGACCCATTGTCACCCTGATTAATGGGGCCTGGACTATTGGGCAATTAATTAATAATAACAATAGCTAGTGTAAGGTCCTCATGAAGCACTTACTACATGCTTGACACTGTCCTAAGCACGTCTCATGAGTTAACTCACAAATCCCTTCAAAGCCCATAGGGAAAGGTGCTATTAACACCTCACTTTGCACACAAGTAAAACGAGGCACAGGACATCTAAGTAACTGCCCAAGGTCACACAGCTAGGAAGTGACTTAGATGCAGAAACTGTGGTACAGCGTAAGTGCAATGTGTCTATTTTGGAGACATGATACATATAGTATCATTGCAAAGCCCTGATTCCATGGGGCCGTGGCCTTTCCTCCCCCTCCTTTAAGCAATGGGGTGTCAACAGAGGAGCTGTTCCCCTGAACCACAAAGCAACAGCCAGGGGTATCTATGTGTATGTACCACATATAATGAATATATGCTACCTGCAATGAGTGTACAGTGGCTCCTCATTACTCATGGATCCCTTATTTGCAAATTTACCTACTCACTAAAATTTATTTGCAGCTCCAAAGTCAACACTCCCGGTGCTCCTGTGGTCACAGTTGATGCGGGAATGAGCAGAGCAGTGAAAACACGAGGCCCAACAGGGACATTCCCATGAGGCCAACAAGGTGACCCTCTGCCTTCCCATTTCCACTCTGACTGTAAACAACTGTCTTTTTGTGGCCTATTAGTATCTCCTTTTGGGCATTTTTGTGCTTTTTGAAGGTGATTTTGCTATTTAAATGGTCCCCAGGCACAGTGGGCCAGGGCTGTCCAGTGTCCTAAGGGCAAGAAGGCTGTGATATTCCTTAGAGAGAAAACAGGGGAGCTGGACAGCTTCCTGCAGGAGTGAGCTGCAGGGCTGTTGTCTGTGAGCTCGATGTTAGTGCATCAACAATATACATTAAATAAGTTTTCTGCAAATAGAAACACACATCAAGCAGCATCACGTATTGGTCAGTGGATGAAATCAGTTAAGACACTCTCAGGAACGGGGCCCAGTGTTGCCCCCAATCGAAATGGTTCCGTGTTTGCTAAGTCAGTGCCGGTGACTTTCTAGAACATGACCACCTTGAAGAAGGCCACTGAGATGGCTTCAGGCTCCGCAGTCAGTCATCAGAAGGGCGGGGTAGGAATCGGCTCGGAAATGAGGGTGTTGATGGGTCAGAGACTCCTCGGGGAGGAGGTGCGACGGGGGCAGGACAGGATTTTGAGAAGACGCCTTGGGTGTGGGCGCCCAGAGGTTCCTGCCAAATGGACCGCGATCAGCCCCAGAACAGGAGGTTTGTGCACCGGAAAATGCCCACGGGTGGCCTGAACCAGGAGCTCCCGCCAAGCCCAGAGGCAGGACGGCCGTGCACCGGCCCTGGGAGCGGACCCCCCCGACTCTCGGTCCTGGGGTGTCAGTAGGAATGACTCATTAGGCCCCTGGAGGGCGACCTGGCTTGGCCCGGGTATGGCCGGGCTGGCTGGCTGGGGCACATGTGAACTACGCCACGTCGACGGACCGGAGAGGGACAGCGCCCGTGATGAAACTCACAGATGCCTGCGCCGGTCCCCACTGCCCGCCTGTCCCGAGCGTTCCCGAGACCCCGCGCTCCCACAGCAGCCACCCACTTACGGAGCTCGCGAGCGTGTCGTGAGCAAGATAAAGACAGGACGGCGCTTGAGGCCATCTGTGGCCTCCTTCTGAAAACAGGGGTCCTGAGGGGTGATGGGGGCCCTGGCGCTCAGTTCAACAGCGGGGGTGATGCATTTGGTGAGAGCGAAGGGATCCGGCAGTTGCAGTCTGGAAGTACACGTTACCAAGAGGCGTGAGGGCTAATGCCACTCGAGTGAGCCTGCGAACGATCGGCGTAGGAGCTAGAAAGCCAGGCGGATCCGAAATTCACTCACAGGGGACAGGGACACCCCGTTGCTGCCACACTTGCCCAGCGAACATATCGCATGAACTGTTGCTGTTACGGTAAGTGAAAGGTATTAGGACTACACACACACTCACAGGCACACACACTCACAGGCACACACACACTCACAGGCACACACACTCACAGGCACACACACACTCACAGGCACACACACTCACAGGCACACACACACTCACAGGCACACACACTCACAGGCACACACACACTCACAGGCACACACACTCACAGGCACACACACACTCACAGGCACACACACTCACAGGCACACACACACTCACAGGCACACACACTCACAGGCACACACACACTCACAGGCACACACACTCACAGGCACACACACACTCACAGGCACACACACTCACAGGCACACACACACTCACAGGCACACACACTCACAGGCACACACACACTCACAGGCACACACACTCACAGGCACACACACACTCACAGGCACACACACTCACAGGCACACACACACTCACACACGCAACTATCTCCACCTCCGTGTCAATGAGCCAAAATATAATTAGCAGACTTTAAGGGTTTCCTTTATTTGAAGACCCTGGATATTAAACCACGGGACAGGGTAAAGGTGATGAAGAAAACCCAGGCGTTCAGGCGACGCGACACGACGCCGGCCGGCGGGTGAGTGCTCTCGCTCTGTTTCCGAGCATCCGGGAGCTGGTGGGTCCTCTGGAGCCGCTGCGCCTCAGTAATGACAGTCTAGAAACGTAAAACGCGGGACGGCTGGTGAGAGGTCAGGGAGCTAAGGGTGCTCCGGGGCACGTGGCATCGGGCCACTGCCCGGCTGTGCCCATTGAAGGGGGAGCCTTCAGATCACACTGGGAAATTTCTGGAAGTGCAGGCTGTGCTCTCCAAGGCTTGGTGCCCTCCTCCCCTTTTTGGAAAATGCCTGCTTTCCCTTTATCTTGCCAAACTCAGTGTCAGGAGACTCACTGTGGCAGAGAGGTGTGGGGGGGGGACCCTCCTGGACTGGCACTGACGCAGGACCCGTGGTCAGAGCCTGTCATGCTTGGTCACATGTGAGAGGAGAGTGAGGTCCACAAGAGAAGGGGCCACGTCTCCTTTGTTCTGGGCCCTGACCCCGGTACCCAGCACAGCGACGGCACTTAGTAACATCCAGAAATAGACAAGGCCACCAAAGTGGGCTCAGATCCAGAGCGTGGCTGAAAAGGCTGTGCTTTTAAACCATCATAAAGACACATGATGCTGTGTGACTTTAAACTTATCCAAAGGAGCCCAGCCGGTGTGGCTCAGTGGTTGAGAGTTGACCCACGAACCAAGAGGTCGCTGGTTCAATTCGCGGTCAGGGCACATGCCCAGGTTGAGGGCTAAACCCCCAGTAGGGGGCGTGCAGGAGGCAGCCAATCGATGACTCTCTCATCAATGTTTCTATCTCTCTCCACCCCTCTCACTTCCTCTACCTCTAAAAATAAATAAAACGTATTTTAAAATAAATAAATAAAATAAGCTTATCTAAAGGAAGCTGCCATTGTTGAGAACATTCTGGACTTGTTCACCATAAAGCAGGCTCACCCATCAGCACACTCGTTCCCCGAAGTGGCCACCCCTGGGTTCAGGGGCCCTGGCTCGGTGGCATTCGGGCAGGAAGCCCAGCTGGGGGCCGTCCCCTGACCCGCTCCCACCTTCCCGAGAAACCCTCCGTGTCCGGGAAGCAGCCAGGGCTCGCCCGCGGTGACGTCACCTTGCACGGGCTTCGGAAAGAAGCACCAGGGCACCTCGGGGATGGCGTCAGAGAAGCAGCACTTTCGAGAGGCGCACTCCTTGGGGCTGATGCCCGGGTAGCCGCAGTTCACGCGGGCGGAGACCTCCATGACACACTCCTCTTTGTCTGGTCGCCATCGCCGGGGTAGGGAGAGGAGCAGTGCACAGAGACTCCGTTAGGCCCGCTCTGGTTATCTAGAAACTTCCATTCCCGTCCTCCCTCGGGACACCGCTGGATTTACAGCTGAGGAATTCTAGGGCTGGGACACCCAAGGACAGGATACACATTGGTGCCAAAGGCTGGCCACCCTTTCCTCCACACAGGTCAGAAGATCTAAAGTGGGGCCTCAAGAAAGTCACTTCTCCTCTCTGGACTCAGTATTCCCCTCTGTACAATGGATTGGCCCACCACCACTCTGAGAAAGGCTGGGGAGCCCCCTTCAAGGCTGTAAAGCGTTTGGCCCAAGCATTAAAACCCATCAGCACTTCCCCTCAGGAGAGGGCCCTGCCTAGAAACTAGCCTCAGAGCCCAGGAGCCTCCCATTCAATCCCCAGGAGTGTGGACAAGGGACCAGGGGTGCGAGTTCCAAACACACCGGAGCGCTCGGCACACGCAACTTTCTTGTGTGCAGGCCTTGGAGCTAATGGCCTTCTGTCTTGATCCTATGCGCTGACATACACCCACTCTCAGGTGAGCCTGGGAGTCTTCATTTCCTAACGCTGAGGCCTGTGAGCAGTCATGTCAATATGTCCTATTAGTGTCTCCTCCCCCGAGAGGCTCCTTCAGGCCACACTTTTACAGGTAGGAGAGGCCTGAGAGTTGTTTTTTCTTCAAATACAGAGAAACAGGTTCTGTACACACCTGGGTTCCCACACATGTCTGCCAAGAGGGACAGAGGGCTGGCATTTGGGGCTCCAAGTATGGACACGGGGTGAGGGGGGTTTTCTCCCCAAGCACCGTTAACCAGGTCCCGGCTGCCAGCCGGGCACAGGAAGACGATCCAGCTCTCCTGTGGTTACCTTGCATTGGGAGGGGGGTGAAGCACCAGGGGACCCCCGGGACACTGGAGTCGAAGCAGCAGCTGGCGGAGAAGCACTGGTCGCTGGTGATGCCTGGGAAGCCACAGTTCTTCCTGTTTTGGGGGTTCATCCGAGAGCACTGGCAGGGGGCTGTGGAGATACCCACGGTCACCACTCCCTCCTCTCTGCCCTGCACTCGGGGCACCATCAGTGTGCACACAGGGAGACGCAAAGTCTAATCTCACCATATTTGACAAGGCTCTGCTGAAATTGTTTTATTTGTAATAAAATAAAATAATTAAATTAAAATAAAATAAAATAAAATAAAATAAAATAAAATAAAATAAAATAAAATAAAATAAAATAAAATAACCTTCTGGAAAGAGGTAGACAGATGGACCCAGGTAGAGGTCAAGGTGAAAGGTCATCAAAGCCGGACTCCAAGGAGCCCCTGGTGGGGCCTCCTGCCCAGTCCCTCTCCTCAAGCTGGCCCCCCAGCACCTGTGGTCATCCCGACCTTGTCCGGGAGAGAGGCCCTTCTCCCAGGTCTCACGGACCCCAGGTGTCCTCCCTGAACAGCAGGAAAGCAAGTGTGACCATGAACAGGGCTGGCCGTGGCTGACACCACAAACCTTAGGTGCCTTCCAGCTGCTTCCTCCCTCAAGTTAACTCATCTGCCCCCAAGACCAGAGACCCACTGAGGGGAACATACATGACCCCACTGCATGTGGGGCTCTGGAAGGCCCTCTGAGCTCTCTGGCCCAGACGCCCCAGTGCCCAGATGTGAACACTGAGTCACAGAGGGTCACTGAGGGGCATTCACTTACAAGGTTTCTCGGCCCCCGCCATGGTGCACAGACCCAGGACGAGGACCGCTGCCAGGAGCCGGGTGCCTGCCATGTCCAAGCTCAGCTGCACCCCAGGGTCGCCTGCAGAATGCAGGGTTCCCACTGCCAGCAGGCGTTTTATCATCGGCTCTGTTTGCTCAGCAAGCGGAAATAACCTTTCTCCCTTGCCCCTGGCCCCAACACTTTGGATCCTTTGTTAGGAAAAGGGGCTGAGATAGCTCGGCAGAGAGACAGAGGGCCACACAGGCACAGGCAAGGCTTTGGGCCAGGTGCCATGCTCCAGGCACCCGCGAGGCCTCCCCTGGCTGGGCTGGGAGCCGGGTCGTTCCAGGATGCCAACGTGGAGGACTGGCCACATGAGCGTCTGGAGCTGGGCGCCCACAGGTCACACCCAGGAAGGGATAAGCCATGCATTTCTCCAGATAAAGTCGGTGGCTTTCATGGAATTTAAAAGAATATTGGGCCCAAGGCTATTGGGGAGAAAGGACCAGGCCAGCTGTCAGCAGAGAGAAGATCCCTCCTTCAGGGAGGGCAGGAGACAGTTAGGGCTCCAATGGCCCCTTGCCAGTATCTCCTTTCTCCATCTTGGGCACCAGGCTGCTCTCCATGGACATGAGTCTGGGCAGGTGAAAAGAGAAGCCCAGATGTAAAAATAAGTTCATTTTAATAACCCTCCAAAATTCCTCATTTTAGCTTCCATGGGAGCTCTCTGCTTTTCCAAAAGATAGCACCTGTAACCGCTATGCCCAGAGGTAAGATGCTCTGGGCAAGGGAGTCTGTGGATGGGACACAGAAAGAGAGGAAAGAAGCCAGAGGGGAGACACCCCAACAGAAAAAGGGAAAAGATACGGTGGGGAAGCGAGGGAAGATCATTAAGGTCCCAACCACCACAGGAATTACAAGGAGTCACCAATCTGTAAATCATAGGTTGAGCAGCCAAGGCCCCAAAGGTGAATAGAATCCCAAACCCCAGGTCCTCAGGTCTGGAGAGCAGGCCTTGTGCACCAGGGCTTGTGCAGGTCCGGCTATAACATTGCCAGACGAGGTACTTGACTATCCACTGCTGTGCAACCAATGGGACTCCATCTTTGAAAACCTTGCAGATTCAACTTTCCCTGCTCCATGTCCCTGTCATCTTTAGTCACCACCAACACATAAGGCCCTGAATCATCTGTTCTCTTCTGGTTTTCATCCCCTCTGTTCTCTCTGCTTTCTTTCCCTGGATGTGACTTCCCACTTGTTCCAGATGAAACCACCCAATCTATGCCAGAGACGTAGCTCATCATCCTCAACCCTGAGCCTCTCACCCTCCCCCAGCCCTAACAGAAGCCTGTATCTTCTCTGAGACACTCCTTTGCATCCATCAAAGGCAGAGGTGCTCAGCGCCCCTACCCCTGGGGCACCAATTACTCATACAGTGCTTTGTGTAAATTGGGAAAAGACAAAATTCTTTAAGACAAGTTACTTCCACCTGTGGGGAAATCATTATAATAGACATGATCTGCAATGTGAGTGGCACCTTATGTGAACATGGAGGTGTGCACACAGTACAACATCTGCAACTGCGTTGTCTGCCCATTGTCCCATTACATGGGCTCAGGAAGGGAGCTGGACATTGACTTTGAGCCCTGATGTCTCTATCTTCACACAAAACCCATGCTCCTTGGAGATGCAGGCTGTGAGCAGTACCACTTTCAATGCCTTGCCCCACTATCATCTGCAGACCTTCATCCTGTCTCCTTTCTAGCAAATCTTTATAATAAGTCTTAACAGAATAAATTTAATCTGCAAGTAAATAACTGCCTAAAAGAACAAAACTTAGCATTTGTTAGGGAAGACAACAAAATCCAGGCACACAATAGTGTTTAACACAAAACCAACATTTACTCGTCTTATGAAGAAGCATGACCCATAATCATTAGAAAAATCAGTGAATAGAAGCAGACCCAGATTCTGCACTAAAATGTTCAAATATTTAAAGAGAAACATAAAAATATGATGAAATAAAAAAATTTTTTAATTTGAATAAAGAAATGGAAAGTAAAAATGAACCAAGTGGAAATGAAAATTTCACTGTATGGGCTTTAAATTAGATACTGTAGAAGAAAGGGCTGGTTTACTTGAAGACAGTGCAGTACATACTCTCTAAACTGGAGCATACAGAGCAAAAGTACTAATAAAAAGTTGAGCATAACCTCAATGACCTGTTAGATAATGTCAGGCAGCCTAACATACATATAATTGGTGTAGCATTGGGAGACAAGAGAAAAAGTACTGAAGAAATAATGGTAAAAAAAATTGGGGTAAATTTTATGAAAAATATAAACCCATATATTCTAGAAGCTCAATGAACTCCAAACAAGATGAATGTAAAGAAAACCACATCAAGGCACAGCATGATCAGATTGTTGAAAATAAATAATCGGAAATATTTTTACAGCAACTGGAGAAAGGACATACTGTATACAGGGGAGCGTAATAAGAATTACAAGTGACTTCTCATCTGAAACAATGCAAACCAGAAGGCAATGGAATAGCAATTCTAAAGTGCTAAAAGAAAAGGAAAACCTTGTCAAGTCAGAATTCTATACTCGGTGAAAATATGTTTCAAAAATAAAGGCAAAATACTTTTTTAAAAGTAGATTTTACTTTTTAGAGAAGTTCTAGGTTCACAGCAGAATTGAGCAGAAGGTATACAGATTTCAATACTTTTGTTTTAGAGAACCAAAGTGGAGCAAACCTGTCACTTGCAAACCTGTTCTCCAAGGAATTTTGAAGAAAGTTCTTGGGGCTGAAGCTGTGGTGGTCCCTTAGTGCAGGGCATGAATTCTCCAGGTTGCTGCAGCCAGGTGCCATGTCCCACCCAGCTGGATCGATCCCATTATGGCACCTGTTGGACCTCTGTAAACACTTGCATTTACAACACACTCTAGTCCTTGTGATTTCTCACTTTGTTTGCTGCAAATGTCTCCTAACTGGTCTCTCAGCCACAAATAGTTTTGTCCCCACCCAGACAAAAGTCAGGTGCCTTAATTATCTTTATAAAATGAAAATCTATATATGTCACTACGCTGCCACTCCCTTGCTTCTCACAGCCTGTAAGATAAAGACCAGGTATGAATTTCCTAATTAAGAAAAGCAAGTCCCCTTTACATGCTGGCTCCACATATCCCTCCAGCTTCTTCTGTCGCTAGGTGTCCCTCACAATGTAGGCATATTCCACTTCTCTACATACACCCTGACCTTTCAGCCTTTGCTTGGTTGTCCTTGTGTCTCTCAGTGCTCTTCCTCTATTCCTTGCCTTGCTAATTCCTTTCTGTGCTTTAGCTCTTCACTCAAAGGTCACTTCTTCCAGGAAGACTTCCTTTACTTCCCTCAGAGAGACAACAGGTATCCTTCACCCCTCTCCCAAGCACCCTTTGTTCACCTGATTCAAAACATTAGCCACACCTACATTTTAAGTAGATTTTTACTTTTCTGGTTCCTTTATTAATTGTACCAAAGATAGCAGCTAATACTTACTGCAGGCTAACTTTGTACCAGGTGATCACCTAAGTATTTCACATGATAGATCATATTTAATCCTTACAGGAATGCAAAGAAAGGGCTAATGCTATTGCCCCCATTTTATGGCCTACACAGGTAAGATATCTGGCTCAAATAACACAGTGAGTAAGTGCAGGGTGAGACCCAGAGCCAGGCCTATGCCTCATTCACTTTGTACCCCAGAATCGGACTCAGTGTCTGTGCACCATGGACTTCCCTAATGAGGAGAGTGGAGTGGAGAAGTGGAGAACCAGCACCCCAGGAGCTGAGGAATGAGAACTTCTCACCTCGTGTCGCCCACTACCCAAATTACCTTCGGAATTCATGAAATAATACCTACACACAGATATATGCACATAACTAAGGAAGCCTCCCCATGTCTCTGGATTACAGAGTCCTCATTTGTAAAGGAAGGTGGGATGAGGGCTTATTCAGTGCTCTCCAAAGTTTCACATGCCTCTTAAAACCTGAGTAGGATAGTATCTCATTTTTATACTATCATCAAGGGAAAACTATTTTTATTACAAACATTTGCATGCCCAGTGCCCCTAAATGTAGAAGAGGGGTGGGGTGGGGTTAAACAACATACAATTCCATTTCCTCCTCAGCTTTCCAGGTTTCTGGATTTGGTTGAACTTATTAATGGGGGGAGCAAATAATAGAGTCTTTGAAGGCCCAGGACTAAATCTGTCTCCTTGAGAAAGAACATGGCCAAAGCTAGGAGAAGACATAAACCAATGAACTCATGAGAATTTTACAGAGTTTGGGAGGGAGTGAAATTCAAGATTTCTCGATGAGTTACATTTAGGAATATAATCGGGTGGATATTACTTTTAGCACATTTTCCAATGTGTTGTGCCATGTGATTCCTCCTTGTACTGTTTTGAAAGACTTTCTTCAAGATGTACATTACTTGAAGATATCTCTTTGGGATCTGAGTGGGTGCTTTGTTTACTTCATTTAACACCATGCTGAGACAACCCACAATCTGGTTGCTCTTAAAACTTCAAAATATTTAAAGCATTTAGGTTACCACATGTCACGGCAAATTGATACATTATAGTAGGAGTTGGCAAACTATGGCACATGGACTGGTTGCATGTTTTGTTTTTTTTTAATAAAACTTTATTAAAACACAGCCATGCCTATTTGTTTACACATTTGTCTATGGCTACTTCCAAGCTGTGTTGGCAGAGTTGATTAGTTGTGACAGAGGCTGTATGGCCCACAAATCCTAAAATATGTATCATCCTTTAAGAAAAACACAACCTTCCTACCTCTGTATAATCATCTTAAAACTCTCTAAAAATAAACCTTAGAAAGTTTAAAAATTGTTGCGAGACAATTCTCAGTGTGCTTCTCACATCTGTGCAGGCCTCACTAACTATCTATAGGGTATGGGACCTAAAGCCAAGGCTTAGTGTCAAGTGGGACTGAGAGGGCCTCAGGTGGCCTGGCAGCAAGTTCTCCTCCCCACCTGCCCCCTCATATCAGACCCCCATCCAA